CAGCCTGCTGGCTTCCTGCTGCCCCGGCGTCCCCTTGGGCGGTTCGGTGGCCCGGCGGCCTGGCAGCACCTCCAGCAGGCAGGGCTGCACTGCGTCCTCCGGGGGCTGCTTGTAGAAAGTGTTGGCCTGCGAGGAGAAGGGATGCTGTTTGGGGCTGCTCTTGCAGTGTGGAGTGCCCTGAGGTGCCCCCAGGGAGCCATTTTGGGTGCCTTGAGCTGCCCCGGTGGAGCCATGTTGGGTGCCTTGAGGTGCTCCTGAGGAGCTGGGTAGGCCAGCCTGGTGCCTCCTAGCCCTATCCCTGGAGCCAAGCCATTGCCATGGAAGGGCCTGGGTGTCTGGGGTCCCCGTGGTTTAGGGGCTATTCCGTGGTGCCTGTGTGCTCTTCTCCGGTGTCTAGAGGGAGGTAGGGAAGGTGCTGCTCTGGCTGGGATTGCTGGAGGGGGCTCAGCTGTAGAGCAGGGGGTCACTGTTGGGGCCAGGGCAGCTCCCCGCTGTGGGGACCCTGCTGCAGCCTCCTCACCTGGCTGTGCTTGCTGCTCTCATTGAGGAAGTTGCCCAGTGCACGGTGCAGGTCTGGGACAGGTGGCCAGAGCTTCTCCTTCACGTTGCTGTGTGGGAGGAAGGGGGGTGACAAAGACAAATCCCAGTTCGGTGTGTCCCAGGCAGAGTCCGTGGGACGGGGTGCCCAGGCCTCAGGCTGCACTCACCCCAGTGAGGTGCAGGCAGGAGGTGCATGTGGCTCAGGCCCTACCTGTAGAGGGAGGGGAAGGTGCACCTCAGCCCCAGGAGCATTCCCGTGAAGAGCAGTGGCACCACCGCGACGCTTGGGATGATCCAGTCTGGTTGGAAGAGAAGCACTGAATCCCGGTGTCCCTCATGGGACTGTCACCCTCTGGCTGGTGCTCCCTGTCCCCTGCCCCTTACCTGCATCAGCCATGGCATCAACCACCACAGGCTTGGACCAGGCGCTCCAGTTGCCCTGGTACCATGGCCCGCTGGGCTGGGCTCGCACCTGGGCGAGGTAGCGGGCACCGGGGCGCAGGTCCAGGACTTCTTTCCTGGCTGCCTGTGGGACTTGCAAGACCTGCAGCGCAGAACTTGATCAGTGATGGCAGCTTCTGCGGGGCTGCTCTGCATCACCTCGTGCAGGGGCTGAGCACCACCGCGCAGCAGGGCCAGGGCTGCTTCGGGGAGCCCTGGTTGTGGTGGGCAGAGCCCGTTACCTTCCAGTCGTGGCTGTTCTCCACGGAATAGCGGAGCTGATAGACCAGCTGCTCCGCCAGCTCCTCCAGGGGTGGCACCCACTGCAGGCTCAGCCGGCCCTGTGCCACAGTGGCCTGCAGGAGCTGTGGGGGGTCTGTGAGCACTGTGAAAACAGGACATGTCACCGACAGGTCTGAAGGGCCTCTTGCCAGCTGGCCGTGAGCGGCGTCAGTGCTGGCACTCACCAGCCTGGTGCAACCAGAAGGGTTCCCTGAAGTAGCTGCGCGTGGGCTGCCCGTGGGGCCAGGTGATGTTCACCAGGACAGAGATGGCTCTGCCAGCCATGGGCTGAAATGTGCATGTGTGGGTGCCCTGGGCCACCATGCTCACCGCCTCACACCGCTGCCAGGCTTCATCCCTGCAGAGGGAGCAGGGAGCACGTCAGCCGCTTGGACTCATTCTGCTGCCCTCACCCGCTGCTCTGCTGGGGCTTCTCTCCTGGCCCCATGAGGCCTGGGCTGCCCCACTTGGCTCCAAGTCGGAGAGTCAGCAGGGCCCGATGTGGCAGTGGGAAGTGTGTTGGTGGGCAGCGCGGGATATGATGTGAGGCAGGTGGCAGTGTGGCAGGGCACGGCGCAGAGGGCACAACACCAGACATGGTACCGTACGTGCGCCTCATGCCTTTACCTTGTGCCAGCCCAGTCATGCCCTTACCTTGTGCCAGCCATGCTCTGGGGTGCCTGATAGAAGAGCTCGTGGGAGCTGCCGGCGTCTGCAGGGTCCCAGCTCCACTCGCAGCGCACGCGCTGCAGGTCAGGGGTGCTGCAGAGCAGGCCGATGTCTCCTGCGCAGGCAAGGGGAGCCAGGGCAGGAGAGGGCTGCTTCCCCTCGCCCTGAGCCACCCACGCCTGGGTGCAGCCCCTGCCCTGCC